ATGATATGGACAAACCTTTATAAAAGAAAAGTATATAAATATTTCACTCAAGTAATTATTGAAATAATTGCTTCTCCTCATCACATTTATAAAGATATATCCCATTAATCTTGAGTTTTACAGTGAAGTGGTTATGTAGATGAATTAGTCCAATCTGATATTCAGTAAACAGTATATGTCTTTCCTAGTTTCTCCCAATGTGATAGATCAATACATTATCCTCATAAAATTAAAATTCATAATATAAAAAGTATCTCAGTATCTACCTATTTAAAAGTATCCTATAAAGAACTCTATCCTTAAAACTCATCAATTATGTTCTTTATGTAAATGCAAGCCTGTAGATTTCTTTTTAGAATAACATTTATATCCTAGTAGCAGTTTCTATGAATTATAGCTGGTTATGGACATATGTAGTCTGGAAACTCTAGTGCTGATGGCATCCACAGTCAGACAGACCTGGCTCTACAATTACTTGTGTGACTCTGGTAAGACGCAACCTTTCTAAACCTCAGTCTCTTTATTTGTAAATGGGAGCTAATATTTGTTGGGAAGATTAAATACTCATTAAATATTGGTCCCTGTTCCTTATCACCCATCTTTCCCAGCTCAGAATTATGTTAAGTATCAAATGAATTAATGGGTATAAATCCTTTGTAGATTGGAAAGAATGTTGCAATTGTAAAGCATTATCTCATTTAATAGGTAATTTATCCCCATGAATTACATTATGGTTAATGGTGTTCATTATTGTTTTGAATAATCCATGTAAGTATAGGTCCCATAACATGATAAATTTCTATAGAACAAATTAATAACTTAAAAGATCATATTTGAAAATACCCAGAGAAAATAATAATTAGCAACAATTATTCTCTAAATCATTTTGGAATAACTCAGTAAGTTTTAATGATATAATATAACTATTGGCTTGGGACAGGCTAGGCTTGTACAAGCAGTGGGAGAACTGAGGCTTTACCATTCATTCAGGTGAGAAGAACAACATATTTTCCCTCAAAATTTCACTGGCCTATTTTTTAGACTAAACAATCTGGAGAATTTTCTCAATTACCTATTACCTGGGTTATATGCAGACTTCAAACACACGCTCTAGAGTGGTTGTGAAGTATGTCTTACCCAGAGTTTCTTATTTAAGACTATTACAGCATTCAAGGGTAAAACACTGTAAATCATACAAATACTGGAAAATTTTTAAAGTGTTATTTGATATTATCCTGATTTTTGTTTTTAAAGATACAGATATTGAAACTATCACAGCTGATCATTTCATTTTGACATGAGTTTAAAAGGTTAAGTTACTATCTGAAGAAAGGTAATCTGGTTGCCTTTCACAGCAGCCTGCAAGCTCTGCAATCTGCATAGAGAGGGGCATTTGTCATCATTAGCTGAGCTGTGACAGCTGGCACCCAGGGTGTCCCAGAATCAAGAAGTGGCAGAGACACTCTTGGTTTAGGTTGCCATTAAGTATAGTAGGGTTCTTGAGGATCAAGTATATTTTACGAAAGCTTTGTGATGTAACTAACAGTAGTGAACATATTTGAATTTTCCATAACATGGATAATACAATGATAGCACATAATTAGCAGGTTGCCTCTAGACAACAAGATGCCAGATTATAGTATGAATAAACATCTACTGCCTGCCACTTAGAGAGGCAGAATTCTTTTCAGCACCCTAACAGCTCCAGCAGAGTGGGTTTTCAGGGCTGGGTGATTAATTAAGTATATTGAAGGAAATAGGTTAAAGATGGAGACTATAGTTCTCAGATATATTTTAAATTTGGTTGTAAATAATGCATAACTTCCCAAGAATTAGCTAAACTGCACACACTCAATATAGCACCCATCTTTTTTTCATAATATGAATATGAAAATTAAAGTAATTCATTTAGATGCAGTCTTCCAATTGGCTGAAGTGTATGTAATTGGTAATATGTATTTAAAAATATTCCTTGGCTAAAGTTTAAAATCAAAATCTTCTCACCAAATGGGTGCCACTATGAGTCTGAAACAGTTGTGGTAAGTAAATCTAGAAAAGAAGTTTTAAAACTTTAAAATGTTATAAATATGTCTTTTAGATCTTAATGTAAAACTATTTATCAAAAGAAAGTTTAAATTATGTAGGCTGATCAGACTTTTGAAAATTTAGCATACCACCACCCCTCTAAAGTCATCAATGCTTGGGAACATAATCAATAATACGGGGTTTTATATTATTATGTAAACTAGTTTTCCACAAATAAAACTAATTTTTGTGTTAATGTAAAATCTATGCAAATACATGCAGTCATTTATCAGGAAAGCTGACAAGCATTCCATATTGGAGGGGAAATGAAACTGCCTCAAGAATAGAGGCAATTAATTATTTCTGTATTTTTTCTTCTTCTGTCTTGAGGCACAAAAGTTATCCATCCAGTTAAAACAGCAAATGAAATAAAGAGATTTTTTTTTTATTTAAACACATATGGCTTTTGCCTGCAATACTGATCACCACAAGGTCTACAGATGCCCGTGGCTAAATTGTACACTGGCAGATGCACACAGGGGAAAACTGTGCTAATGCAGCGTGGAGAGCAAAACAAATGAAGAACTGAAATTGCTAGTAAAAAACAAAAAACAAAACATCCCACATTTTTTCCCCCTGATGAGTTATACATTTTGTTTATCAAATGCAGGTTAAGGTTGCAAAAAATTTAAACTTAATCTGTTGCAAAAAAGTAAAAAACAATTTTAAATTAGTGAAGGTCTCTCTCTCTCTCTCTCTCTCTCTATATATATATGTACACACACACATACATATTAATGTAGGTAAGTATTTTTTTTTCCTATGGACAAAATGGCTAGCAATAAACTTCTCAATTTCATAATTAAAAGCTTATGACATTCAAAGTTGATGTAGTATATGTGACTGAATACATGCTGTTGGAATTTCCAGTGTTATTTAAAAAATCAATTTAGGTACTGTCTCTTCAGGTATTACCAAAACTGTTAAGGGTTATTATGAGACAATCTTGCGGATGTGGATATTACTTCCTGGTGGCAACAAGAATCCAATATTTAGTAGTTGTTTCCTTTTAACAGATTAATACAGAAAATGTATAGAGGCCAATTCAATCTTTTACTATCTTAAACACTGGTGTTATTTGTGTGTGTGTGTCTGTACGCAGACTGCATCAGTCTTTTACTATCTTAAACACTGGGATTATTTGTGTGTGTGTACGCAGACTGCATCAATCTTTTACTATCTTAAACACTGGTGTTATTTGTGTGTGTGTGTCTGTATGCAGACTGCATCAGTCTTTTACTATCTTAAACACTGGTGTTATGTGTGTGTGTGTCTGTGCGCAGACTGCGTGAATGGACTATTTTGCAAACCATAAAAAGAGTGTATTTCCTAAAGATGGTTTGAGATTATTAAGAAAGCAATAACTTCTTTCTTAATAGGCCTGTAAGCATGCATAACATTAAAATTTCTATTGTAACTGCCAAATAAAAATATAAAACAGAAAGCATTTAAATAATTTGTATATCTTAGGGGAAGAAATAAAAGACTAGTTGTACTATTCCAAGTTGTAAAAAGGCAGAATATTTGAAAAAGCATCATTATCAATGTCTTCACTCCTATAATTTAATACATCTTGGTTCAGAGTATTTGTAACCATCTAAATTTACATAATAATGTATATTTATACAAAATTAGGATAATGTATATTTATACATATGTCCCAAGAATGTGCATATATTAAGTAATATTAGATCTAATAAACTCTTTAGCCTCAATTCCTACCACTCAAAGGGAAGGTTAATTTACTGAAAATGTAAAGTAAAAATATTGAGAAATCTTGACATTTCTTTCTCTAGTGACATAAAGCTAGAAACATTACAAATATGCCTCAAATGTTGCTAACTTATATGAGAAACCCTTTCTTTCTTGCATATTTTGATGTGCAAACTGCGAACCCGATTCATAAATCTAACACATATATTCATGTTAGCCACTAAATATTAGGAGTTTCTTTGAAAAATGAATCTTCTACCAAGTATTAGTCACATACATTAAACAACTTTACATAAAATAAAAATTATAAACATATTGCTTATATATCTGAAATATTATTTTATACTTTGCTTGTGTCAGTGTTTTTTGATTAAAACTTGTCTTTAATTGGAAGCATGATAAAATAGTAAATTCTAGGGGAAATAACAGGTGTTACAGTCTAAAGACCTTTTGATATAAAACTAAAACACTCAGACATTTATACATTAATCATAAAATTTCCATATAAAAATAATGAAATAAAGGCATGAAGAAACATTTTTGTGGTAATATAAATGTTCTACATGTGTGTTAGAGCTTCTATGATGGTATACATTTGTCAGAATTCATAGAATGGCACAACCATATGGAAAAATCATGGAATGCTATTGTATGCAAATTATACATCGACAAACCTAACTTAAAAAAATACATTTCACAGAAAGACAAAGCTATACATTTTATTTCACTAGGTTCCCACTTTTTTTTTAAATCAGGAACACTACATCTTACAAACTATGCTGTTCATGCTTCTAATTTGACTGGGATATTGAGATAATAAAATGGATAAGGATATATGAATATAAAAGTATTAACTATTCATTAGTATTACTTTAGTCTTGATATTCTTGACAAATCATTATATGAAAAGTGTGCTTTCAAGAAATAGTACATATTGGTGTACTAAAATGTATATTATTACCATAATGAAAATAATGAAATGTAACTGGAAATATTATATAGGTATTATATTCTCAGATAGTTATCTCTATACTTATATGTAAAGATATAAAGAAAATTTATATTTATAAACTAATTTCCTTCTTTTTCTATAAACCATTTATTTTACTGCATATAATATACATGATAAAAGGTAATCGTTTTCTATTTGATGTAATTATCCTTTTAAATTATTACTCCAGTTACTGATCATTAAAAAAATAAATCTTAGTTTAGAAGAATTACTTTGCTCATTAAAAAATAAGCTCTGAAACTATAAATTAAAAATAGGAAAGGTTATTTTAGACATGTAATCACTGGAAGTTGATTATCTATGTATCATATTCTAGTCTCAAGGTCATGTTGAATATTTTCAGTGGCTTAATCACATACAGTATGAAACAGTAATGAGAGCAATGCAGTCCTGGATGACCTAGTACAGATGTAGGGATTAACATACACTCATCGAATCTGATTTCCTTGTTTTCTCTAAATGCAATAAAAATATAGCATATTAAGAGTACTAAAAATGTAGCCATATACACAAATATATGTAAATTCATGTATGTAAAATCATACATACATTTGTGTATGTGTTATGGGTTAGGAAATACCTAATTTTCATATATTCATATAGAAAAGAATCATGTGAGCCCATTTATCCTGTCTGAATATTTCTATAATATCACAAGAAAATTATAAGCTGAAATCTAACAAAAAGATTTTGGTTTTATTAGAAAGATAATAGTAACTTTCTGAAGGGTTTGTGAGAAATTAGACTATTGGAATCCATATTTCCTACATAATACTCAATAAATTAATGACTTGTCCTTAAATGTTTGGAAAAGGTTAGAGATCACAATTTATGCCGAGCAATAAAAAATTCTTTAGGTTGATAACCTCCTTTCCCCATTTTTTTTTTCAGTTTGCAGATACAACTGAAAATATCCTGTACCTCTGTGTACACATGCAAATGAATGAGGAAACAGAGACAATTATGAAAATAAGCTGGGCTTTAAATTTCTTTTTCTATCAAAAGAAAGGTTTTGGCTAGAGTTATCCAGTATTACTTCAAGTCTGCAAATCAAGCAGTGGTGGTCAATTCTTAGAAGTATACTCCCAACTTCCATTTTTAATCTCAAAGTTACCTTTCTTTTCAAAAACCTATTAATGTCAATATCAAGTTTATTAAGCAACACTGTAGAGAAAAACAGTACTCTTCACTACAAATGTGACTATATGTGAACTAGGGTGATGAAGAAAACTGAGGCAAAGGCCTTCATCAGTCAAGTGAAGAATAAACAATTTTAAAAAATTAACCGCAATTCTCAAAATGTTCTAGTTGAAGAAGTGAAATAGGGTCTAAATTGTGCAAACAGCGACCTCAATCCTCTGTTTGACTTTGAAATAAATCTGATATTAAAAGATGAAATAATTACTTTAAGAAATCACTGAAACCTTGAAAGCTTTCAAGCTATTTTTTGTCTCAACTGTTCTTACACCAAGAATCACACAGGAAGAAAGGTATAGATGCCATCAAATTAGATTACCAGAAAAATTCTCTCTATTTTACTTTATTTAATGTGACACATAAAGAAAACCCTGCACAAATATCTGTCTTTAATTTCTCTAGTGTAAAAAAAGAAATATATTGTGTCTGGCAGAATGAAACACTTGAAATAGCCTGGGTGCATTTATAAAAAAAAGAAGGGGGAAGGAAATCAGATGCCTACAATGAGCCTTCAAAGCCACTCCAGCAGTAGGGATAAATAATGTAATAAACTCAACTTCATATTCTTTTTATCTCCCCAGTGTAATAAGCACATATTAAAAAAATAAAACTTTAAATTCATGAATTTAGACTAGCAGCTAGCAGATAATGAAAAAACACCAAACGATATCTATGTAAGCACTTAACATGTATGTGCATATCCTTTAACAGATACCTCTTTTCCAGATGAAAGGTTACAATTGCTGAGATTTATGAACATGCAATTCAAATTTAAATTAGTTTTTTTCTAAAAGAAAAAATTTTGCATTCTTGTATTTCTCAACATAACAGAGTTTTTCTTTAAGCTTAATAATGACACTATTTATGAATTACTTTGTATATACCATATAAGTAAGCAGGTTTACAGAAGTGGAGATAAGTTATTTAGGAAATAGTACTTGAGGAAAAGTTGTTTTGCTATTGTTATTTCGAACGCTTCGAAGTGTTAAGGATCACAGTATTTAATTATTTTATATTCACTAATACTACTAACATTTATGATAATGGTGTGCTCTGTCCTTATTATTATTTTTTTTTCTAACCGGTACATTTTAAATCAAGCCTGCCTCATAAACTAAGTAAATGAAATGTGAACGTCATTTTACATAACTGACGTTTTCCATTAAAATAAGCAGCTCAAACTATTATTACATCATGAGATTCTTGAGATGTTTTTTCCTTCAATTAGGCCAGTTTTCCTTAATTATCATTCTATTATTAGGTCATGTCAAAGATGTCTGCATGCATACCACGGAAAATAATTAAGTATTTACATCCTAAAGCATGACACACACACAATTTTATTCTAGTAGCACTAAGATTACATTTTCAACAAAAAATATTGCAAGACTGGTATAACTGGAGTTTTTAAAAAAACTTTTCACATTAATACGTAAATGTATATTAAGCCATCTCGATGTACTGCATAATCATTTGACATAACTAGTTTAATAGGTCAAATGATATTTTTAAAAAATTTACTGAAAAACAGTTAAATATGTTACTCCTATAAAATAAACATATCCCCCAAGCCTAGATTAAAATCGGCTGAATTGCACAAAAACATACTGTTATTTGTAATTCCTCTCTATAGGTCATTTGCATAAAAAAATTTCAGGGATGGAAAACACACTTCTCCGAATAGCTTAATTTTCGCTTCAACAATGAGGGGCGTCTAAGATCACTGAAAGGATTCAGCTACACAAGGCAATTCATTTCACGTGTTCAGTGTAATAGAAAATCACTGTGTTGCAGCAACAAGCAGTACTTGCACTAGAGTATTATTCAATCCAGGGCGCCCAGTTCACCCACAGTGATAACCGCGGACCGGTGAATCCTATGTTATGTAAATCACCTTCAACTCCGTGTGTGAAGGATGCTTAAGGAAGCAGCTTAGAAAACACAGTCCTGGCGTCCTTGAAACTAAATGACTTCACTTTCCTGGAACACTAGATCTAAGGAGTTTCCTAGTATACCTTTTCTCACCATCCATTTTTCTTTCTCAAAGTGCAAATCGTTAGTGAAAAGGAGCTGGTTGCACCAATTAGTTTGCACGAAGTGCTTCGGTGTTTAGCTTCGCTTTAACCCAATTAAGCTGCACAGTGAGCCCCGAAGATGCGCCACCTGCGCGCCTGGCTCCAGCCAGACCCGGCCGGCGTCCCTCGCAGGCCCGCATCCTTCCCGTTAGACCCACTCAAGGTCCCTCGTACAGCCCTGGGGACTCCCGGTCCTCGGCTGTCTCAGGTCCTTGACAACCAGGGTTGTTCTGCAGGTGGCCCAAGAAGCCAAGGGGCGAGGTCTTGGGGCAAGCATCTCAGAGCGCCTGAACCCAAGGGAGAGAGCGCAAGGCGCAGAGGCCCGCGGCGGGGCTTGGCTGCGACCGCACCTGGGCCGGTCGTGGGCGGTCAAGGCTGAGGGGTGCGTGGGCACAGCGTGGCCTGGAGCAGACGTGGAGAGTAAACCCGGACTCCAAGTAAGGTTTTCAAATAAGCTCACGCAGAAATAGAGCGTAGCGATCTTGAGCCCAGAGAGGAAAGAAAGAGGGCACGGGAATGCGGCGCAGCTAGAGAGAGAGGGCGAGCGGACGGCACAGGGCCACCCGCTCCGGTTGAGGGCAGAAGGCGGCGTTTCCCCAGAGACCACTGCACATCTTCGCCGTGGCGGTTGCAGGTTCTCGGGCTCTGATGCGTTTCCCCTCCAACTGCCAAAAGGTAGCAGTGCATTCACCCGAGACGACGGCAAAGCGGGGAGGGGCTTTTTGGGTGTTCCCAAGCCCTGCTCCTAAGGGGATGGAAGATTCTTGGGAAATAAAGTAGATGGGTGCCACGCAACCCAATGTAATATACTATTTTCAGCTAATTTGGAATCTATCACTGTTGGATAAGGAGAAATTAAATAATAAGTGGCTTTGTGATGCTGTACCTGTGCAAAACACACAAACAAAAATAAAAAACTTAAAAAAAGTGGGATCCTGGCACAAGATCTTATTAAAAGTGGCTCTGAAAGTGCCTACAAACCTGTTACGGGGAGTTATAGGATTTGACTGGAAATATTCTTAATTGGAAAGACGTGGCATCTAAATTAAAGGTAGACAATTAAAAAATCCACCTAGGTTTAAAAACCACGACATAACCACTAAGTAGTATTTCTTTAGTTTCCTGTGCTTTGAGGACACAACTGGACCACCAACTAGGAAGAAAAGAAATTTCCTCCTCCTGTTTCCGGGTTCCAAAATTCAGAAATGAAATGATTTCATTTTTGTTTTCAAAATGATGTTTAAATCCAGAAATGACCCCTAGCTGATTGCAAGTTAATTTTCTTTGAAAATGTTAACCATTTTCCCTTAATTAAATCACACGAAATAGTATAAAATTAGAAGTCTACTGCTAGGTCACCACTTAAGGACACTTAAGACAGGAGATATATCCTTAATTATACATCTGTAAACAAGCCAGAAACCCCCAAACCTTCAAATTTTCAGGATAGTTATCTGTGAGGAGGCTTGATCTCCATGCTTTCACGTGAATTTTATGAACTAAAATTCCATCCCAGAGACAAGTGATTTTTCAAATGTTTCTATAGTGCATATATAGCTTTGTGTCCTGCTTGTAATGCTGGTCAAGTCTACCAAAGTGCAAAGACTGCAGCTGGTGGGACAGAGGGATGTACCAAATATTTTTAAAACATCCTAACTTAAACGGGGGTAGAACATCTAATACATTCAGCAATTATTTTCAGATTCCTTTCAACAAATGCAAAAAAGGAAAAAACATAAGTAAAAAAAGAGCACACTACCTCTATAACGTTTCAAAAAATCATTTTAACATAGAGGAACATCCAGAATGAGAAAATTACACAGGTCCTCCTCCATCTAAAGCCAACTTCCATATGCCAGTAGTCTGCATGAACAAACTTTCAACCTGCATTTAAGAAGACTCCAAGGATTAACATGCATTAATTATCTTACTCTAAATGCAAGTTAGTGATTTTGTTTTAGAAAACCCCGTCTAGATCACTAATTGATGGATTCCCATTAATACACCTGTATTTGCATTTCAGCGGTAAAAAGACAAGCAGGGTTTTCGGCACAGAAGAGAGCCGCTTTGCCAAGTCTTTTCAAAATGTCAATATGCTTCAAGTAGTACCACAGCTGAGCTATTCCTCTTGATTTCCAAACTGTCTAGGTGGCCTGGGTGGTTTTCTGCCGGCAGCAGCCTCCTACCTTTAGTTTGTGTGCCTATATCCATGAGGGGGGATTAATTAGCCGGGTTGGAGCTGAAGGAGGCTGTCGTGACGAGCCCAGTGGCGATTGGCCGCCCGCCTGCCTGGCCCTGCCTTTATAATTTCCACACGAGTGCATCTGGGCTCTTAGACAAATCAACAGCAGCTTCTTCTGACATATACACACGCACACTCACCCCGGACACACTCTCAGCACACTTTTCCTCCATTTGATTAACAGTGCTGCACACACAATGATTACGGGAAAGCGTAAATAAATACGGAAAGGGGTGCTTATTTTGACTACTGGAAGAGCTTTGCTGGGTCTCAGCGCAACTTTTTTTTTTTTATTCCTGAGAAGGTGATCTCTCCATGCGGTTCTCTCACACAAGGATTCTTTAAAAGAGGAAGAGAGACAAGGAGAGGGGGGAGAACAGTCTTTCACTTTAAGAACGGCTGGGCTCAAAGATAAAAGGAAGGGAAAAGCAGCAGCAGCAGCAGCAGGGAAACCAACGCTGCAGCACTTCCGAGAGGCATTTTTGATCCATTTCTGAGCGCTGCGGCCCGTTTCTCCACCGAAGTTGGCTCCAGCTCTAGCAGCCGCATTGGATCCCACAGCTTACTGCGAGACTCCGGTGTACAATCCGGATCTCTGCCCCAACATGATTGCGGCCCAGGCCAAGCTTGTCTACCATCTGAATAAATACTACAACGAAAAATGCCAAGCCAGGAAAGCTGCCATTGCCAAAACTATCCGGGAAGTCTGCAAAGTAGTTTCCGACGTACTGAAGGAAGTGGAAGTGCAGGAGCCGCGGTTCATCAGCTCTCTCAACGAGATGGACAATCGCTACGAGGGCCTCGAGGTCATCTCCCCCACCGAATTTGAAGTGGTGCTTTATCTCAACCAAATGGGGGTGTTCAACTTCGTGGACGATGGCTCACTGCCCGGCTGCGCGGTGCTGAAGTTGAGCGACGGGCGCAAGAGAAGCATGTCCCTCTGGGTGGAATTCATTACCGCCTCCGGCTACCTCTCGGCGCGCAAAATCCGGTCCAGGTTTCAGACGCTGGTGGCTCAAGCGGTAGACAAATGTAGCTACAGGGATGTGGTAAAGATGGTGGCAGACACCAGCGAAGTGAAACTGAGAATCCGAGATAGGTACGTGGTGCAGATCACGCCGGCTTTTAAATGCACCGGGATCTGGCCGAGGAGTGCTGCCCACTGGCCACTTCCCCACATCCCCTGGCCGGGACCCAACCGGGTGGCGGAGGTCAAGGCGGAAGGTTTCAATCTCTTGTCCAAGGAGTGCCACTCCCTGGCCGGCAAGCAGAGCTCGGCGGAGAGCGACGCCTGGGTGCTGCAGTTCGCGGAGGCAGAGAACAGACTGCAGATGGGGGGCTGCAGAAAGAAGTGCCTCTCCATCCTCAAAACCTTAAGGGATCGTCACCTTGAACTGCCTGGCCAGCCCTTGAACAATTACCACATGAAGACTCTGGTTTCCTACGAGTGTGAAAAGCATCCCCGGGAGTCGGACTGGGACGAGTCTTGCCTGGGTGATCGGCTGAACGGGATTTTGCTGCAACTTATCTCCTGCCTGCAGTGCCGGCGGTGTCCCCACTACTTTCTACCGAACTTAGATCTGTTTCAAGGCAAACCTCACTCAGCTCTGGAAAACGCTGCCAAACAAACGTGGCGACTGGCAAGAGAGATCCTGACCAACCCGAAAAGTTTGGAAAAACTTTAGAGGATGAGTTAATCAAGAGCTGAAATTATTACCCTTCTCAAAGTCCTTATTAAGTGTAAACTTCTGTTCAATTCCTAATATTCCACTCCGCAGTGTAAACAATCTCTGAGTAATAATACAATATTTAGACATCATCTCACCCACCCCCACAAGGGGAGAAAAAGTAGGGCAAGCGGATGGAGAAAAACCCAAAGCCACTAGTATTAGAAGACTTCTTGCCACACGATTTCCTATCTCCCTTGAAAAGTACACCGTAACACTCCGTAAACAGCCCGGTTGTAATGCAAGACCGCGACGAACACTCCGCCTAATTATCAAAGGATTATAGCAATCCTGGTGATTTAGGTGCATCTGCCTGTGAGTAAACACGATTTGGATATGCCATCTGAAAGAAACTGTAATGTATATTTTGATTTGTAACAAATATTGTGATCTCACATTGTCTTTGAAAGTGTGGATGTTGGTGTTTGTGATTTGGTAAACAGAACTTAAATTGCCATTCTCGATACTTCCAGACATTTTCCACTAACAAAGTTATCATTTAAAGGTAGATTTCCTCCTGGTACTTTCCTCTGTCTTTGAAAGTGTCTGAACTTTAAAAAGTTTACATTTTGTTTCAAATATTGCTTGTTCTATTTCTAACATTCCATAAATATACTTGAAATGTTATTTAAATATATTCAAAGAAATTTGAATTCAGCTTATATAATAACGCTTGAATATCTGAATTATATATTTGAAAAATGCACTTGAAATACACTGGATAATTACTTTTGTGATTTAGATTTTAATTTGTTGCTGGTTTTTATTTAATTAGATGCTAATAAATGAAGTAAAATAAAAGTTGTCGTGTCTCACTTTAAATTGTTTCCTATCAAAAGATGTAATGCTGCATTTTGAAAATCAAACCCACTTGAATATCTTAAACATTTTGAGAAATATGCTAATGAAATCCTTAAAAATAAAACATTGGAGAAAAGCTCTTTCTGTTTAGGTATATAAGATAACGATCTACTCTCAGTCTCTAACTTACTTGTAAGACAATTCCTTTCTACAAGAGACACAATTTAAATCTACCTTTGAAAGCTTGCTCTTCTTGTAGCATTTTTGATAATATAAGAAAAAAAGTCTATCATGACAGTAGAGATGACTGACTTATTTTAAAAACTGCATTTGGAGCTGGAAGTAAAAGAAGTCCCATGACTATCCTTTGGAATACTTTAGTAGTCAACAAGTGCTGAAAATGCTGATCACCTATGGGCCTTAAGTTAGTTAATTCAGGTGATGGTAAATTTTTGGATTTTAGCTCTAGTTTACCAATACTATTTTATTACATTTTATATCAATATCTAAATTAAAAACAATAAAGTTCTGGATCTGTGGGAGCATTTGTCTTTGACTATTTTAGAATAACTGCCTCTAAAAATAAAGGAAGATTTTTTGCAAAATGATGCTAGAATTTCTAGCGTGACACTTCATGCTCTTGAATTCTTAACCCCAGAATAGAAGTTTGCAAATTGCACAGTAACATGAAAGTCAAAATATTAAAATAGATCTCAGAAAGTGCTGAGAAAGAGCTACTCTAACACTCTGGTGTTTAAAATCTACACAATAACATTTAATAAGTATGCATTTAAATGGTTCAAATATGTATTTTCTGGCATTATAATCAAAGAAGAATACAATATTTAAACATCTGAGTTCTAGCATATATATTTTAAATCAAAGCTCAGAGAATCAGTTGCTTTCCTCTTAAATCCACATATAAAACCCATTCTTATTTCAGGAGATGGACAAAACGGGTGTACTAATGGAGATGAATTTATATCTAAATGGCTCTCCCCCCAGTTTCCTTATAACTTTTCAATAATCACAATTCAATCTAAAGTTTTGAAAATTAAAAGTGATCTTAATAAGAAATTTCTTAAGACCTTTCGTAGTCAGCCCTCAGAGCCTGAGATTCTGGGCCCCAGGGACTTGGGAGCAATTGGCTTAACTACCAAATCTGCCCAAGCGCAAACAAAGGCACTCACAGAAAGACTGTTAAAATGTGCATGCTCTGGTAATACAGGATTTAACTTCATTAATATATTCTTCGGTTCCATAAAGTGAACATGCTATTTCATTCATTTTATTTTCTCTGAGAAAGAGGAGAATGTGCTCCCTTCCTCCACTGTCAGGTAAAATCAAACAAAATTGAAAACCACTTCCTGCCACAAAGCCACCAGTACCGTACATGGAATCGCTTTAACTCACTTTAGTGTCGATCTTCTTGAAGGCGGAATCATCCTCATCTACCTCGAAGTAGATTTCTGTCGTGGTGATGGAGAGAGTCCCCTTGGCCACCACCACGGGAGCGATGAGCTGGGCAGGGGTGCTGAGAACCACTGGGCCTGCAAGGCAAGGATAAGGGGAGTCAGGCTGATCCCCTGTGGCCCTTCCTGCTCCCTCCCAGAAGGGTACCAGAGGTTTTTATTGGTAAGGATGCACTAGAAAAAATGGTTCCCGTATTATGCGGCAAACTCTTTTTTCATGTAAGATAAGGACTACTTAGCTTTTATTCATTATCTTATAACAAGACTAGAGAGAAAAAATGGTATGAAAACCCAGAAGGTCACGATACCGAATACCGCTCAATTTCCACCTAGAAATCCTACATGGTTGGTGAGGGGCTGCCATTAACCTACTTAAAAGTGCAGGACGGACAAATGTCCCAATTCTCCACTGAGTATCACTGGCTTTTCCAGAGACCCTAGGCAGTCAGCACTGCCCCCAAGACCAGCCATCGCGCGAAGCCGCTCCACTCAGCAGCGGCGCTCCCCAAGGAGAGGCGAGAGGACGAGAAGGGGGCAAGGATCTAAATGATAAATTCCGCTGTTGTGAGCGGTTTGCCTCTTGCAGGAAGATTAATCTAATATCTGTCTCCTAAGGCGCGCTACACACACACATACGCGTGCATACGGACATTACATAAAGTTCTTATGTAGAAAAGAACGAAAATCGTAGTCACTTTCTCACAGAGAATATATCAAAAGGGATGAAAATGTAAGACGCTTGAACAAAACGATTCTCAAAAAAACCGTGCGAAAGTGCTACTTCTCAACTTTTGAAACTGCAGAAACAGCTTCACTAAAAGTGCCTGCCAGGGTGCCTGCTTCGAATTCCCTCAATCTGTTAAGGTTGAAAATCACGAATTACGCGTATAGAATATGAATTCAAATGGGATATTACCTAAATGTTTCCTGTAAAGTCTCCCCAAAGGGAGACATTCTTCGCAATCCTGGATTTGAAACACGATACAACGTTATACATAACGTGGGGATCGGATACAACCATTCATTTGTCGGTAGCAAGGGCGCATCATAATCCCTTCCACTTCTCCCCTCAAATGCATACAGTCAAGTGCGTCACAATAACAGTCGGGGAAAGGCAATAAAAAGTCAGGTTCTCTGCGGCCGCTAGGCCTCGGCCCTCCAGGCGGAGATCCCTCGCGCCGATGCCGCCCTCAGCCCCCGCCGGGCCGGCCTCGGGAGACGCGGCCAAGTTGGCCTTCCCTGGCGCAGCACACACCCAATCTGCGACCGTCCTGCACAAAGCCGAGCCTTCCCGAGGCTGCGGGAACACAGAGGGCTGGGCTGGCTTCTGTCGCGATTACAAGGGGGTGGCTAAGGAGCAAACTGTGACAGTGTCAGCTTTCAGCCTGTCGGGACTGCCTGGGCCAGACCCAGGCACAGCCCTGTCTTTCATTTCACTGCTCTCGATCCTCGGATAAGCCCCCGGGGCTCGCGGACTCTGGGCTTCGGCCTCTGCCCAGCGGAGTCGGGGTCCACCTCGGTTGCACAAGGTTTTTCTTTGGAAAGGGAGAGGCAGTCGATCTGAAGCACCACTTTAAAGGCTCATCAATCTTAATCTAGGTTGCTCAAGTAATTACGCCCGAATCTCTTGTACGATTACAAGTGGATTTGGGTTTCTATTCCCCAGGCCCTCCTTTGTGTTTATTGGAGGGTCTGTGCGCGCGCTTGGCGGCGCCTCCTGCGTTCCGCGCCCTCCTCCGAATCCCCCAACGCTCGGGCCGGTTCGAACCGCTCCCTTAACCCTTAAGCAACCAGGACGCTCCCTTGGATGCCAGTTTTCCTATTTTCTCTCTGAAGAAATCTATGCGGTTTACTCTTGATTGGGGCAAGGTGAGAAAGGTGATTTGGTTCACACTGGAAACAAAGTTACACATTTTTAGGCATTGCTAAAAACCTCAAAAAAGTCTCCATTCTAAAGACAGAGGACTACCAAGATTTATAAGAGGTTTCTGGCATTTGGAGACAAATAATGGTCAAAAACACTAAAAATGGCGAATTACTTCTTTCTCGTAAAAAGTAATTTAACGTATCCAAATTGAGAACATGAGAAAAAAGATCATGAAACATCAAAACCGTACCCATTGATTTACTGAAATACATTACAATTTTTAAGGACACGATCCATGAACTTTCCATGGGGAGCACATCTTCTCTACTTACTCCTCTGCGTTTCTGAAAGGAGATGGCTTCCTTTAGATTTTACTCCAATATCGTTCTGTTGAGGAGATTTTCCGGGCGTTTATAAAAGGGCTTCGAACTGGTCTTTCTTTAAGAAAGACACATCATGAAATATTCAGCATTAATAGTGTGTCATTTTTACCCTCGTCCTTTGGAAATCTCCAATTACAACTTCCAATTCCATAGCATGTTTAAGGAGCACTGAATCTTTTTGTTGCAGTCTTCAGGGAGCAAACCAGCCGCAGAGAGAATACGGAGTTAATCCACTACAGCAATAGAGAGAGGGGATTATGTTTTAATCCCCTTTGGGGGAGCCTTTGGATTTTAGGGATCCGATATTAAAATGTTTACACAAGGCACAATCATAAGCCAGCAGATCTTCCATATGGTACCTGGTTATTTGAAAACCTCGGCTCCCTTTCCAAATAAAAATAGTTTATAAAGAACAGCATCTCTGAATGACGGTGAGATGGTGATCTAGCTGATTCTGTTCTAGAAGATAACTTAAGTAACTACAAATTTAACTTCCTAAACTTTGCTTGGTGTAGTGAGTTGAGGAATGACTGTAAATATATTCATTCCAATCACTACTGTAGCAATAAAACAATAAATTATAATGTCCTCAGCACACATAGAAGTATTGATATTAAATGTTAAACAAATGGATAAGACAAAACCTCTTCTTATTGCATTGATGCATATAATAATTTAAAATTCCACCATCTAAAGTGGTAATTAAAAGGAAAATATAAACGTTATTTACTTTTTATAACTGGCAATATAATGCTTAAAAAATACTGTTCCAATACTATTTTTGAGAGGAGGATAGGGGTATTACTTCCCATTTATCTAAACTAAAATGTGAACTAGAACAAAAACCACCCTAGCATAATGAATCTTTAAAATAATAACTTCTCTTTAGAGCCATAAGATCTTTAACCAGTTGAGATGGTAAACCTCATCATGGACCTAGAGTAGAAAGTACACGTTTTATATTAAAAAAGAAACCATTTATCAAATACACTTTAAAAGTAGAATGTTAAATACTTGTGGGTTTAGATTATACTGATGAAAATCAAAATTTCAAGCCCAGAAATCTTAATAATACACTGACATTTTGGTAAAACTTTACAATTTACAGAATTCTTTTTTGTTTTTTGAGATGGAGTCTTGCTCTGTCGCCCAGGCTGGAGTGCAATGGCTCAATCTCTGGCTCACTGCAACTTCTGTCTCCCGAGCTCAAGCTATTCTCCTGCCTCAGCCTCCTCAGGAGCTGGGAGTACAGGCGCATGCCACTGTGCCTAGCTAATTTTTGTATTTTTAGTAGAGACAGGGTTTCACCATGTTGTCCAGGCTGGTCTTGAACTCCTGACCTCAGGTGATCTACCCGGCTTGGCCTCCCAAAGTCCCGGGATTACAGGCGTGAGCCACTGTGCACGGCCACAAAACTTATTTGTATTTTTACAGAACTAATAGTCCAATATTCACAAATTTTAAGTTACTGGATGTGTCAATGCTTTCTTGCCAAAGACCACCAAGAACATATCTGTAGTTGAACAAGTGGGTTTTATTATTCATTGCAGTGAGAGAAACCGACAACAATAAGAACCATGGGGTGACTTAGGGGGTGTTAAAAGACTCATTGTAGGATCTGGATTTTACTTGTGATTTTGGGAAGGGTTCAGGAAAGCAGGGCTTTGCTCTGGATTGGGCTCTGTCAGGCATCAGAAATAATTCTATGATTAAGTATTTCAATCAATTTTATCTAGAGGGAGGGAAGACTAAATGTATGCTAAAGCTCTAATTCAGAAGATGTAGCAGTCACTCATATTAGCCAAAAGAGGGGAATGTCTGGTACTTTTGGGGTATGCACAGTGATCTTGCTTTTGTCTGTGTTTAGTCAAAATTATAAAGTTGTTTTTTGTCTCACATCATCATCAGACAGCCCTGTATGAAGTTGGTGCTCTGTGAGGTTGTTTATGTCCAACAAGGGAACATCATGGCCTAGCAGTGAGCTCCAGGCCAGTTCTCAAAAAGAATGAGGCCTAGATATAGGCAGGCCAGTTCCCAGAGGTCAGAGGCTGCTTTTTCTTTTTCTCAACTGCAGGGATTAATCATTTTCGGGGGGGCGGGGGACGGGAGGGTAAATTAATCATTCTCAGGAGGGGGTAAAATACATTCTAGTGATTAAAAGGCAACGATGGCTATTAAATTTCCTAATAGTGATAAGCTTCTTTACAACTTTCAATGTAAAGCACAGTAAAGACTATGCATGGAAAAAGAGTTGCCGTTTAATTAAAACTGGAATTGCTAGAATTATTTGATGAGTTTTAATTGGTAAACTATATTTAGGGTACATAAAATTATAATGTATTTTAGAATCGCTTGAATATTTCCTAACCTTAGTTTAATATCGTTAAAAGCTGTATTAGCTATATGGATTTTCTTCATCCTCAATTACTTGGAAACTACATGCTTAATTTGCTTTTAGAACCTGTGAAACCTTGTTATTTTTGGATAATAAAAAATTGACTAATCTTAGTAGAATTATTAAACTTAAAATCCTGATGTTATTTAGAAGAACTAAAACTAACCTGAAATTCTTTATGTTCACTGTAAAATAATATTATTCCAAAGAAATTAGGACAAAAATATAAGGAGGGAGCAAATTTTTATAATTATTTTTATAATGTGGTATACTTTCTAGGGAAGTAATTCATAGCATGAGTGACTGAACAAGATATCTATCACTGCTTTGGACTCTTTTTTTTTTTTGAGATGGAGTCTTGCTCTGTTGCCCAGGCTAGAGTGCAGTGGTGTGATCTTGGCTCACTGCAATCTCCGCCTCCTAGTTTAAGTGA